TAATTTACTTGGAAAGGGTTCAGAGGAGTCCAACTAGGATTAGGATGATTCTCGAAATGGAAGGGTTATCTTATATGGATACGTTATGTTTTTTTACTTATTTTCTTTTAAGAAAAGAAGGGTAATAGGGGATCTCACTAAAGTTTACAAGATTATCCAAGGAATGGATAAATTCCTCTACTATTTTTTGTGAAACATTCCAAAGATAACAGTATGAGATGAAACATGTTTAAGAGTTGGAAAAGCAGATAGTTTTATTTTTCTAAAGGTAATTAGCTTATGGAATAAGTTGCCAGTAGTGGAGGCCATGATCTTACAATTTAAGGGGGAGATTGATTATTTCCTTGAAAACAAAGAGTTGGCTTAGTTTTTACTTTTTTGCTTCTTGAGGATAGGTGTTTAGAAATAATCTTGAAGTACAAAATGGTCCATTGTTGTAAGCTTGTTAATACTGTTCTGTTTCTTTTTGTTGTTTCATACATGAAGGACTGAGTTTGTAAGGATCATGACTTTGTAAAGGTCAAATTCAACCACGAAAACTGTCTTGCTACATTTTTCAATTACAGGTTTTTGTTGTAGCTTGTAGACTACAAGATTAAAACAATCGATGCTGTGAAGATTTTGATCAAAATTGATCTAAATGTCTTTTGAGAAAGTCCTGGTCTTTATATAAAAAAAGAATAGCTAAAAATATATTAGTATGACAAATTATTCCAGACAGAAATGAACGAGTTTCAGGTATTTACTGCACAAACCTTATGCATCTCAAGAAATATGCAAGTAGTTTTTAGCAAATTAATCATTCACTGTAATTTGCTTTCCTTTCTATTGTTAGTCAATTTTCTGTTGACAAATACTAAATAGTACTTATACATATAAACACCACCACAACATGGTAATGTTATCTACCATTACAGAACATTCAGTTAAGTACCCAGTCTGATAATATAATCATAACTCTATGAAGCATAAATGCAGGTCTCTACTACTTGGATAAAGTTCTTGTAAAAAAATTTACATACTGTATTGATAAGAAACTGAAAAAGTATTAGATTAAATCCATAACAGTAAAGCAGTTTGTATTTTTTTATTTTTTTTCAATGATATAACAGTAATATATATACTACCATCTGAATGTTATCTTGTGAAGAGAATCCAGTTTAGTTACAGCAGATACTCAAATAAATTCACATTGTTCAATGTTAAAAGTAACTGATTATATAAAATTGAACTTTTTCAAGATTATCTACTTGCCACCACATTTATGAAAGACTTATATACAAGTGAAAGTTTCTGTGAAGAATCATTGTTACCACCTACTGCAAGTACATTGTTTCACTGTTGCACATCAAGTTACTTTAGATTTGGACCAAAAATGAATTGTATAAATGTGCGTGTGTATTTCCAGAGACATACGATGGGAACTTCAGAATACTTCATTAAGTGACAGGCAAGTGAAATTATAGTTAAAGACATGTAAACAATAATAAAAATAATTTACCACGGATCTCATAACAGAGGTTTGTAGCAGTATCAGAGTTTGCTTTTATAATTTGATTTTTCAAGCACTTATAAGAAAATCTATCTTTGTAGCTCATCTCTACACGAGTCTTTTCATCCCATAATTTACAAACATACTTACCTTCATTGACACTAAAAGCTATTTCTCAATCTTCATCTTTGCCATCTAACATTGCTCCAGTCTTTATATACCCCACCTTGGCTGCCCTCGGCAACATCTAATTTGCAAAACTCTACACCGACCCTCACGCTCCCTCTATGCAGGTACTGTATATAAGCACTGTATGCAGACAATAAAATCACTTTCTCGAGACTAACCACATTTCGGTCATTAAACACTGGCTCTTAGAGGGGAGGAAGGTAGGGAGAGTGTCAGCAGAGGTAAGTATGTTTGGAAATACATTTTTAGTTTAGGCAAATGGTAACTTCCAAAATGTACATACCTCTGCTACACTAATAGTTAGAATCCCACTTTGTGAAGGCGGAGGGACCGGTGAGGATAGAGATCATACAGAAACCGTCTGCAGAGAACAAATATGTACCACAAGAAGTAGTATTAAAGTGGGCAATATTCTAATAGTTAGAATCCCACTTTGTGAAGGTGGAGGGGCCGGTGAGGATAGAGATCATACAGAAACAGTTTGCAGAGAACAAATATGTACCACAAGAAGTAGTATTAAAGTGGGCAATATTCTAATAGTTAGAATCCCACTTTGAGAAGGTGGAGGGGCCGGTGAGGATAGAGATCATACAGAAACCGTCTGCAGAGAACAAATATGTACCACGAGAAGTAGTATTAAAGTGGGCAATATTCTAATAGTTAGAATCCCACTTTGAGAAGGTGGAGGGACCGGTGAGGATAGAGATCATACAGAAACCGTCTGCAGAGAACAAATATGTACCACGAGAAGTAGTATTAAAGTGGGGAACACTGCACTACATTCAGAACAGGGGTGTGCTCTTCACCCAGAACTACAGAAAACTGAAAAGTGTGGAATATAATACAAGTATGATGGTCTAACTCCGACCAAACAGCCAAGTTTCCACAACTCTGGTTGGAATTAAAGGGTCATAGTACCCATATCCCACGTTGATGGCCAGGGCACTTAGACCACAGATATATACATCTTTGTGTTAGGATCCCTACAAGTAAACACAGAATGATGCATTTCGTACTCCCAGATTTATGAAAGAAAGAAAGCAAGCAACACCAAAATGGACAATCCATCTGATAAATCTGAAGAAGTCCAAAAGGCAACATCTCAGGTCTGGATTGACGGGATCATATGCCACTCTTCATCAAAGTCCAGAACTCATCCTGTCGGGATTTACAAACAGTTGTCTTTACTCCCCCACCAAATGTGCAACGAGAATTCTGCTTACCCATGGAGTTAGGGAGAGGATGTAGAACACTGTCCCACTAAAGACCAAAGATGGGACTATGTCACATTCAGATTTACGAGGAGATAGTTGACTCCTGCATGAACAACATTAGACCTGACAGTGTTCATAAAAGGGTCCAATCACCCCCCACTGGATAGCTAAGCATCAAATCTAAACTGGCTTTACAAGTATACTCCCGGGTAGATTTGTGCTTCTCCTACTAACATCTCTGAAAAACTTCCAGAGACCCAGGTAGGAGGGTCTCCAACTTCGCTCTCTTCTCCAAGAGTGGAGAAAACTCAACACTCCAAAGGTAAATCCTCTGTACACCACCTAAACCAACTGGGAAATGGGTGTGGTAAGGACTCGAGTAGAAGTAAGGGGGAGGGGGACATAAGCATTGGAGAGTCCATGTCCCTTAATTTTTAAAAGCAAACTGATCTCGACTGATTCAGCCCCAAGATCAGCAGGGACTGGCAAAATCCCCCTTTAGCTTTACTCATGATAGTCCATGAGTAACAGTCTATTAGGAATATTGTAATATGATATCATCATCCAGAATTGCATCCAGATGGTCTTATGGAACACCTCCATCTCGACAGTGCCCACTGCAACCAGGAATTTAAATACAAGCATACCCGACTGGGCAACACTCGCCACTGAGTGAAATCCCAAAAGAAAAAATCAATAGGGACCCTAGAAAATAAAGGAACATGTTACTCACCATCCTGTTAAAACCTACTAGAGGTAATCAACACAGCCACAGGGGGAACACGGAGTCCTTTCGAAGAGGAATCTGTCAGATTGTGAAGGTGATGAGATATGAATGTGTTGAGAGAAGTTCAACAACCAGCCTGCAAAATATCTCCTGAGAAAAAGGACAGAGACAATTAAGAGAACCAATGGAATGAAGAGTGGAAGGAGGGGGGCCTTGAAAAACGAGGGAATGAACATGCAGGAGTACAAGTGGAAGTAGAATAGGGTCGAGCAGCCAAAGACAATAAAGAAGATTGCAAACATGCTGTATCAACTCTGGCTTCTAAAGATTCTGGAATTCCAGCAAATAAATAAGGCCAAAGAAAAGGCATTTCTGGTAAATCTCGAACGGCAGAAGAAGGTAAGTGAATACCCTCCAAAATTCATCACGACTCAACAAGTCACAGCAACAGACCAACCACGACACCTAGGCAAATCCTGAAGAGGACACACGTGTCATAATAGTGACCAATAAATGGCCCAGTTTGGCATCAAATTGTTGAGGCGATTGGTGACATGCTTCAGACAAAAGTTGAAGGGAAGAAATGTATCTTAAAACAGTAGTAAGAGTCAAAAGATTCTGTGAAAATTGTGACCTGTTAAGAGAGATAACAGGTTCGTACCTGTCACTCTATACATCCAATAACAGATCCAACCTTTGGGTGTCCAAATATATATCATCCTGATGATGATACACCAGTGAATGTTGTTCAGTTAAACGAGAAGGGGGGGAAGGCATAGCGATACCCTCATGTAATTGTGTTGCAAACCTCCATGCATGCACAGCAATATCAGGAGAAGGAAAACTAAGTAATCCCCTTGATAACGATAAGAAAACAATGCAGGGGAGACTCAAAAGCAACTGGTTGCATCTCCAAAATTTCACAAACACGTGTAACTAGCTGCAGAAAAAAAGGGGCAGAAGGTGGCTGATCACAGAGAAAGCTCTAGTGAAAGAAAGAGACAGGGAGTCTAAATTCTCCCCACAATATCCTGTTTTAGAATGAAAATTCAAATCAGCACCTCCCAGCGAGATACCCCCGAGCTCCATGAAGGATTCGATCTCACCCTGAATCAGGTCATGGACAGCTTCCACGGAGAGTGGCTCCACCCCCACCCCCAAACTGATGATCACTACAAGATAACAAAGGCTGAGAAGCCTCTGTTCTTGAAACTATTATATGGGAATTAATATCCAATTTTTTTTTTAATATATTTGTAGGAAAAAAAAACAAATTCAATGAAATATATCTCTGGATAACAAAACAAAGAATTCCTGATTATTAGAAAGTGAAAACTTAAAAAAATTTAAATCACAAAAACATTGGTCTGAATGAAAGCACTTTGTTGAGAAAAAGTGATTTTATTGTCTGCATACAGTGCTTATATACAGTACCTGCATAGAGGTAGTGTGAGGACCGGTGTAAAGTTTCCAAATTAGATTTTGTTGAGGGCAGTGGAGTGGGGTATATAAAGACTGGTGCAAGCGAACAGAATGTTAAATAGCAAAGATGAAGATCGAGAAATAGCTATTAGTGTTAGTGGAGGTATGTATTTTTGGAAAAACTTATCTGTATCTTATTTAGCCTTGCAAAAAAAAAAAGAAGTTTGGATGTTCCTGTAGGAGTAATATTTTATGTAATTCGTCACTGAAACTTACAATAATATATAAACTAATCATAAAAAGAAAATGGTAGTAATAGCTTAGTACGTCTGTAAATTAGTCATAGCCCACTTCCTTTTTCATGACTCCATATGCAATTCTTCAAAGGAAGATGTGGTACTAACAGAAGAGCCACTGGCACCACTGCCTGCCTCCTTCTGACTATCTCCCTCACCATGTGCAACTCTCACATTACCAACATTTTCTGAAGTGTTCCCTTCCCCAGCAGCCATTTGATCAGTTTTTGGTCCATAAGAGGGTTCTTCTAATTGAGGTTGTTCATCCTCTTGGTCGAGATCAGCCTGGATACCTTGGTCAGAATGTGCCTCTTCTTCACTCTCTTGAAGGGCTTCACCCACATAGAACTCTTCCTGACGTGCAAGGGGAGCCACAAACAGTATTTCATGCCCATCATATATCTCCATAATCGGATGAGCACATAGTTTTTTGTCCTATAGAAAATTAATGTTCTAAATCATATATTCTTTAACACAGCAATCCTTGTTCAGAACAATACTTTTAAATTTCAACATAACCGTTTTGGATAAGCATACAACTCCTGATCTTATAGAAAATTAAAATTTCATAGTAAAACATAATACAACAGCCATTGTCTACAAAAACTTATTAATAGCATCATTATGTTTCAAAACAATGACTACAATTTTTTGTTTTTACATAGAAGATGGATTTTAATTTACATTAATTTAATTAACTAACTGCCCAATAACAATGAAATTCCACATATATTTATCTATCCAACTTTGAAATAATCTGGAATACATATTTCTGAGAATAACTAAAACAGTTACAACATTACAAGTTTCAATTGGGGATGTTAGAAACTTTGAAGAAAATAAAACTGAAAAGGGCTTATTTCTAGTTTAATAACAGCAACAGTGTTGATAAACCTATAAAGCCTTCTGCTAAGTACTTAGTTCTGAATGAAAAGAGAACTTGAAATAACTGATAATATATATATATATATATTTTTTAACTTAAGAAAAAAAATATTGCAACATTTTGTTACACCTTGACAACAATGGCTTGATTTGGATGCAAAATGAAACTGTTACAGTATACTTATGATAGGTAGGATTATCAACATGGGGTACTAAAATGACACTTGATTTAAAGTGATGGGGAGAGATTTAAGCCTTATGCCTTGTTTTCTCTGAAACTCAGAACATTTTGAAATAAATTGAATCAGAAGTAGAGACTTCCTCCACATTTTTAGCCACAACATTGCAGCTCACAGAATAGCTCCAAGTTTTTTTTTTTCAAGTACAAACTTTTAGCTCATAGCTCCATCTCTAATTTGAGATCTAATTACAGCTGTGGCTATTGAAAATTCCCTCTCGTTGATTAAGCAGTGCAGAGTAAAGGTTGTAAATACAATCTGGAATTTTATGGTTGTTAGGTTACAGCTTTGGAAATCTAGATCGGGATGTACTTTTCAACAAAATACTTGTTTATAATAAGCTTGTGAATCAGTTTAGCTGGTACTGTATGTGTTTTAAGCTTGTACTTGTGTGAAGTGGTAGGGTGTTACTAATACTATTACAACTATACGTTTAACTAATTTACTGGCTATTCAATTATGAATGATATTAACATGCTGAGTTAGAAAACCTCTTATCACACTGAAGAACTACCAAGTCTCTTGTGTCTGTTCCTAAAATTGAACTCTCCCACAACAATAAGACCACTTTTATTAACAGCATAATCACACGGTGTATATATTCCTAAAAATTTCAATTTCTTGATAAGGAAGCCTGCAAAGTGTCAACAACTATATTTTCCTACTACCAATTTAACAACTTAGCCCATACACATGGTACATTATCACCAAACTTCAACATCTCTCTCTCTCTTATAAGTATTTGGATAATTTCTGACAAACAAAAGCCATCCCACCTCTCATTTGTTTAAACTTAAAACATTCTTACCTCACATTATCATAATTTAACCATGAGTCAGTACCACCTTCTAAGAGCAATCAAGCCTTCTGCTTCTAACATTTTTACAGATAATTCTAATAGCACTTTAAATATGCTAAATTTTTTGTTTAACTCTTCACACACACTAAAATAACTTCTATCATTTGATACAAGACTTTTTTAAGCTATAATAGTGTTTTTTTTTCAATATAAAGAAATTGCTTTTATTTTCTCTTAAAAATCAAATTGCAAAGGTAAATTTCCTCCCCTTTTCTTTAAGAACCTAACATTTTAACCTCACTTTTCTTGCAAGCTTTCAACTCACTTCTTACAAATAGGACTATCAGCATTACCAGATTTACGCAGTAAAAACTGAGATTTTTTTCCATATGAAATGAGATTGTAACAGTTCTGAAATAGTATAAATTACAATAACACACACTTTATCATTTGCTAGTTAATCTAGAGTTTATTGCCACACATTTTAAACCAGACAAGAAAAAACTTAAAAACTTAACTAGTTATCAAATAATTAGTCATTTACACTAATCTTCATCTCATTCTGTGTGTTTTCTTTATACTTAATTCTTGCCATCACTTCTGCTGTTAAACTAAAAACTGAAAGTAATGTTATTTAATATATAAATAGAAAATTTATACTTCAATCTGTTTTGGTGTAAAGAAAAAAAAATAATGTATTGTATCAAGTTGCATGTATTTTCAGCATGTTCTCAACTGTTCTAAAACTCTACAAACCATGACATAATTCTTTAGCCTTGGGTAGACTCTTATAATGGCTATCATTATAGAAATTATGCCTTTGTATGGAAAAGTTGTCATAACGGCATGATCCACTGGTGGAAGTGTGACAAACTGGTAACCTTTTTCCTGCAAAATTTTCCTGGCAAAATTAGAATCATCTTCGGTATTCTTGCCATCATTCATTACAGCCCCTACAGCATAGCGAAGGCTTAGTGGCTCCACCTGGAAGGAAAAACCAAGTTCAACATATAACAATGTAAACAAGGACTCTTTTCATCACACAGGTTTACAAAATTTGTACATTATTGCCCTTTTCAATAACATTTAGATCCATCACTACACAAGTGTGAAGTCAATAGCTTGTTAATTTATAACAAACTGGAAAGAGATTTTTTTTCTTTAACTTTAGATATTTACTTTACAAGCTTTACACACCACCATTAAAGGGTCATACTTGATTTTTACTTCTGTTGTTAACTTAAACCAGTCAATAATGAAAGTCTCAGAGAAACAGATAAAATATTGATACATTACCAAATATTTCAACACTAATTCTTTTAACTTCCAGGATGCAAGATGTGATACTTACATATGTTTGGAATCTTAACCTATTTCCAGAATTTAACTCACACAAAAAAAATTCTTTATTATAAATTATGAGACATGAAGGAGCCTTTTGAATTATCAGTGATGTCCTAACTAAAGCTGGGGGATTAGTGGAATTTTTTACTTGATTAATTATCAGTCTCTCTACTCAATCACATTAAACTAACCAACTATTCTCACACAAGACTAATTTTCCTATTTTCTTAACCTATTTTCAGATAGTCTTACTATGGTACAAGAGTCTTCTCGAAATTCTAACTAAATCAAAGTGCAACTTAAATTACTTCATGCTTCCTAATATGGGATAGTGCTCCCACTGCACATCCATAATGGACACTTTTCACTAAGGTTTATTTGACTGACTTTATCAGTTAGACAGCAACTTCATTCAATACTTTCACTAAATATAATTTTTAGTATTGACAGATACATTGTCATGCATTTCTCTGTATTCCTAAGCATATTGTGAAAATATATGTTGCTATACATATATTTTCAGAATTTAACTTGTACAAAAACAGTCTTTATTATAAATTATGGGACACGAAGGGGGCTTTTAAATCATCAGTGATGTCCTAACTACTAAAGCTGGGAGATTAGTGGACTTTTGTTACTTGATTAATTATCACTCTTTACTCAGTTATATTAAACTAATCAACTATTCTCACACAAGACTAATTTTCCTATTTTCAGCTTAATTTTGTTTTTAAAGATAATTTCGAACTACCCTTCAGTTAATATGATGTACATCTTCAACTACAAGTTATAGTAAGCTGAAAATACAATTAATGTTGTTCCATGGGTTTCTCTCCACAATTTCTCACAAAACTTTGTTAAAAATAATTGTTCTTAGACTTCATGTGATAAAGCTTGTAAAGATTCTTCTCAGTGTGTGTGTGTGTGAGTGAGATGTATAATATACAGCCTTTTTGTAAGGAAAAACCACTGCCAGTCTCAGTGACCTGTTACTAATTGTTTTACTGCTCACCACACAAAACACTGCATGATACTTTTATGCTCGTAACTCTTAAGTATCTGATAAATCTACACATATAAATGGAGAAAAAATTGCATGCAAAAAAACTAATTTATTTTGGTTGTTTTATTAATGAAACGGCCATTATCACTATACATAACTATGATGACAACGTAGACTTGATCTACAGATATGTGGATATTATTTATTGTAATTAGTCCTATAATTTTGGCACAATTTCTTCATGATTATGTGTTAATGATCACCCACAAAGGAACAGCAGAGTTATGAAACTTTTACTGACAGTAACATATTACTTTCTCCAAATGCATATAAACTGAACTGAAGGTGAGAACATAAATGCATGATGCTGTTCTTTACACTCAGAATTAATTATAAAAAGCAAGGTTAATCTGTCCTTTGTTTTCAATTTATGTTTATTTCTGAAGCATTTGTTTTCGTATATGTTTATTTCTGAAGCATTTGTTTTCATATATGTTTTCTAAATAAAACAACATAACGTTTTGGGGCAACATGGGACCTATTGGTCCATCTTTGCTGTTCCATCCTCTATACCAAATTAAAAAAAAAAATCTTAAAGTCAGCCGATATCCTTCATATACTTAAGTTTTTTCTTAAACTCACTTAAATTTACTACTTATACAATATCCGAAGGCAACCCATTCCAAAGGCCAACCACTCTGTTAGAAAAATGAAACTGTCTTAGCTGAAGACGACTTCTATCCTGCCAAATTTTATGTGTGTGTCCCCTAGTCCAACTTTTCTCACTGTTAAATATGAAAAAAGATGATGCCTTAAAACTATCGATTCCCTTTACAATCTTAAACACCTCAATCAGATCCCTCCAAACTCTCCTTTTTTCAAGAGAAAACAATGAAGGATTTCAGCCTCTCCTCATATGACACCCCTCCATCTCAGGCACCATTCTAGTAACTCTTCTCTGAACCCTTTCCAACAATTCAATGTCTTTTTTAAGGTAAGAAACCCAAGAGTGAACACAATATTCCAAATGTGGCCTAACCAGTGACCTGTACAATGAAATTATAACTTCTTTAGAGCTCACATATCCAATCTCTAACCTTCTTCAAAACCCTAGGGGAAATAATATCTGGCCCAAAAGCTTTATCATTTTTTAAACTTCCCAATTTTTTCTTAACCAGCTCAGAATTAATGTCTTTTAGTAAAGCTACATCTTGTTTGAATGCAGTACTTACAGTTTAAATGAAGACATCACCCATGGCATTTCAAATTCTATCCAAAAACATTTCACAAAATAAACAATTTTCTGTATCTAACTTAAAATGTTCTGATGTGAAAGCACATTAATCCTAAGCCACTACATTTAATTTACTATCTTCCTAATATTATACTTTGTCATAATTATATTTTTCACATGCTAGCCTGCAACTCTTAATAATAAAAAGAAAGATTTTATCTGTATTAGACTGAGCCACCTTAGAGCTGGGCATTAGTGGTGTTCACTAGTCAACAGTTCCATCAATCAATTATATTCAATTAGTACAGTGTTCCTCAAAGCATGGAACGTACAAGTAAAAAAAGTTGGTATTGGGTGCTACCAGCCAGTTGTCTTCCCTTAAGTCAGCAGTTCAAAATCAGTGACAGTGGCAGACAGCCTTAGTAGCTTTGACTTAACAAAGAAATGACAAACAAGTTTGGTGGCAATATTTTGATTACTCGAAGACATCAGAAACTCCATTTTTGATTAGCTGACTACTGTCATAACAAATGACTTAACTGTAATTTTTGATTAACTGTTGTAATAAAAGAAATATAGTAATAATCAGAAACACTAATTTTAATTAATCAATTTAATTATAATTCCAATTTATTATTTAGTTTATGATGTAATCAGTGCTTATAGGTAATTGATTAAGTCTACCAACTGCTTCCACCTCTGTCAATCAACTAGCTTTTGAAACATTTGCCTGGTAGTTAGCAGTTAACAGAAATTTTGATATATAATTCAGTGAAAAAAATTACTCCAATCCTTCAAAATTAAAGACAGTACAACATTTACAAATTGTCAAGAAAACTTGTGATAATACTAGAGGGCTTCTTTCCAGAGATTAAAATGACTCGTAACATAGAAAACAAAGTATTATTAGAAACATTATAATCATGGTAATATAGAAAAAAAAATCTGCAATTAAAAATGTCTGTGATTTTTTTCTAATTCTATCTTCAGCATAAAAAAACTTAAGAAAATTATTAACAAAAGCATTACAAGTTTTTAAGCAAGAAGTTGTTAGTATTAAGCTACAAAGGTTATGTACTGCTATCCTTTATTTTGAACTGATGTCCAGAGGGAAGGCAAACAATTGGCAACACACATGGCCAAATCATGGGCTACTATTTAACAATGATTATGATTGATCAACATATTATAACGTGTCCTGGCCAGCATGGTTCAGTAATTATAATGGTTACCAAATCAATAACTTGTGTCATCAAATGTGTTTGTTAAAAAGAGTAGCCAAAGAGTTGCAGTGGGTACTGGTAGCCAGCTTCCTTCCCTCTGGTTGCAGTTTAAAATTAGGGAAGGTTGCAGATAGTCTCAGTAGCTTTGCTGTAACTAAAAACAAAAGAACTAATATAATTAGCTATAATTACTCGTAAATCGGTTAACAACTTAACATTGTTACATACTGTTAGACTGCGATTAGTTCATATCTAGTAATTTTTGATAAACACAGTTAAGTGTACAATAAGGAATAATGAACGTAACTTGCCAAAACTATTCTTTATTAAAGCAGTCTTACCTTAAATGTCACTGGTTATGTTTGTAACAATCACTGATATTAAGTTAAAGCTACATTATTTAGGCCAAGCAAAATACATAAGAACAACAGGCATCAATGTAGCTCAATATGTGGCAATATTCTGATTACTTGGATGGTTGGAATAATCAATAACAGTAATAATCAGGAACATTAATTTCAATTAGTTGATTATATTTGTGACACTAACTAATTTAAATGTAATTCTGATTAACTGATTATCTTATATGACACTAATCAAAGTAATATTAATACTAATAGATAAAGAAGACACAAGTTTATGACCTAACAAAAATGCAAGGAGCTGTTATGACAATTTAATTTTTCTTGACAAAGTGACTGACTTAAAGTTAATGGAACAAGTTGCCATTGGAAGTAGTGGAGGTCAGCATTTGACACAAGTTTAAGAGAGGAATCAAACATTTATGATAGAGTGGATTTAAATGTTTACTTTCTTAAGGGTGAGTATGCAGTGGCAGGCTTAAACTGTCAAATGACTAAATAATCCCTTATTGTCAGTATGCTATTTGTTTTGTAACTAAAGCCAAATCAATCCATTCTTAGGTAAATTGCTTAGATACATTTGAGCCAGATCAAAAAATCAAGTTTGACTACATGATTAATACAATGAGGAATTTTCAACCAGAAATGACAGCACGGTTATTATGTTGTATTACATAAACATACATGCTTTCTACATCCTTGTATTAATAATTAAGAGACAAATTATCAACATTTGTTATTTGTGCAGGTAGTTGCAGTTCCATATAACTATAGTATACGTTGGCCATGAATATTGTTCATTTAGTTCTACTTCTATCTACCTCTTGTTTTGTGTCATTCACCTAGAGCAACTGGAATAAGTACCATTTTTCTTCCCATAGGAAAGATAGGTGCAAGATTACTCATACAAAATAGTTTAATACTAATACTTAGTAATTACTAATAATAGTTACAAGAGCTTACTTTGAAGTTTGAAATAGAACTTAAGACGTTAAGTTTAAAATTAAAGACTAAAGTATATACAAAATTATAACTTTTAAAGCAATAAATAATTAAACATTCATCAAAGTATGTGTATATTTACCTCCTCTGGATCATCATAGTATATTCCAATGCATTTCAAAGCAGGCACAAGCGTAGAAACTTCTGTAAATAATTTTCCACAGTTTTTGTATGGGCCTCTGGCATATTTGTAAGCGACATTAAGGCTTCCAAAAGGGGGACTACCCGCTTTTACTTCAATATCCACAAATAAACCAGAATATACCAAATACGCAAATACAGTTCCAAACAGAATAATTAAAATACAAATAATAGCTATAACTAAACCCAATTCAACTTCCATCATTCAAGACTACGTATTGAACCCTAAGGCTTAAGATAATGACAAAGCGAAAAGTCTCCAAATGTTTTTCTAAAAAAACACCACCAACTTAAGCCTATATCTCCACTTAAATCACGTTTCTTACCACCTGCTTGATTACTGAGGAAAGAGGGCGCTATATAATATATACGATACATATGTATATTATTTTTCTTTCTTTTTATATTTAACATTGCTATATTCTAATTGAGCAAAATATTCCAGCTATTTTTTGTACGCTTCAGATATTCGTTAAACATATTATTTTGCATCTTTATGAACATTAGTTATCGGTTGTACTATTGGTACTATCCTGCTATTTTACTCCATCTAACGTTTCACTGTTGGATATATTCAATAGGTTTTCATTGGCCACAAGACGTTTTTAGAAAAGGTGGTGATCCTTCTGTTACGTTGTTAAACGAATGTCGTGGCAATATTTTTAATCTATAAATTTGCTACAAATATTTAGAAAGTTTGGTTTGAAAGCTACGCGAGGGCTATTTGCGCTCATAGGCGACCGCAGAAAATTTTCCAGGAAGGGGTAAAGTATTGTGAAATTGTGAATTGAATAAAAAAATCATAATACACATGCTGAATGAATAAAGAAAGAAGTGATAGAGAAGGGCAGCTAGTCAACATCATCCACCGCCAACTCGTACGTTATTATTTTACCAACGAATAATGAAATTGACCGTTACTTTATAACGCCCACACAACTGAAAGGGCCAGCATGTTCGGTGACGGGGATTCGATCCCGCGTCTCTCAGATTGCCAGTCGAACGCCTTAACCATCAGCCCATGCTAGGCCACATTTAGAAAGTTGATGAAAGTCAAAGCCGTTGTAGAATATAGTAATTTCATTTACTGTTTAGAAACAAGGGTATGATATAAGTACTAGAAACAGAGAGCAGTCAGTTAATATGTGAGCTCAGTGTTACTAATGAGAGCTGTCGATTAACGAGGAATTTCTGTTGAAATGTAAGTTAGGCAAACATTAGTATTATTATTTTTGATAGAATGCTGTTTGTGAAAGTGGGTCTGTATTTTGTGTCAAAGTGACGTTCACTGTTGCAAACGCTATTCAAGAACTAAATGAATTTGTTATGGTTACATGGACTTTTACTTTACCCAAATAATCTAATAGAACTTACACAAAGATAGAATGCATTACAACACTAGTATTAGAAGTAAGATTATTTAATGGAAATAAAATAGAACAAGGGCACAAAACTAGATAAAAAATTTGCCAGAAATTATGAGAAAATCAAAAGACGATCAAGAAGAAATAAAAACAAAATTACATGAAGGAGACAATAAATTAATAGTAAAACAAGAAGAAAAAATAGAAAATTAGAAAAACGTGACAGAGAGTTAAAAGAAGACCAATAAAAAATAGATAGAAAATAAAAAGAACAAGAAAAAGAGACAGAAAGTTGGGAGAAGGAGACAAAGTTAAAGAAAGAAGAAGAAGAAATTTAAAAGAAAGTCAAGAGATAGAGATATGAATTTGAGTGAAAAGTTAAATGAAAGAAATGTAATATATAAGGGTGTGTGTTTTTCTTATGGAAAAGCCACATCAGGCTCTCTGCTGTGTTCACCGAAAGTAATCGAACCACTGATTTGAGCAGCGTAAATCTGAAGCCTTACCGCTGTCCTAGCGGGAGCTAATATATTAGGAAGAATTAAGAAAAATAATAATTTTATCCAAGACGAGAACCAAGAAGCTATTGTGGATGTACAGAAGAATTATAACAACAAATTTGAAGGCATGCATAATAACATAAACAAAACACGGAGAGACTGTATTGACAAAATTGAAGAAGAAGCAAAAGATGTCAGCAAAGTACAGAAAGACTGTAAGGATGAAATCGAAGAAGTAAAAATGAAATCAGTGACAGAATAAAAGATTTGAAAAATTAATTGGGAAATGTCAACACCAAGCTAGCCACATCTTTTTCTGTACCTGCCAGAGAGTTCTAATCTAAAACATCATTTACTATTAAACATCAAATAGAAGAATCTACTTGGTTGATATCTGTTATGAGTTCTACTGTGCTGTCTGTGACTGCAGAGCTTTCATGGACTACTCCAACCATGACACTATCCAGTCAAGTTCCAGGATTTAGCTGATCAATTCAACAATGTAGCCCATTCAAAAACATTAGTCTATGACTGAAAGGTATCATGAGAGGTATATCAGGCTCAGTTCGAAATAATTTCCATATTGAAAGGTTGGAATACCGAACATTGGGCTATTCATCTTGCTGCCAATTTGAAAGAACTAGCTTTATCATTAAGCAACCTTCTAGCTGAGAGCCATAATTATCAAGTATTGGTAGCTGCCTTATCCAATAGGTTCAGAGTGGTACACCAGAAAGAAGTATACAAAGCAAATTTCCAAAGCAAGTTACTGAAGAAGTAAGAGACCTTAGTCAAACCTGTGGAGTATTTGAAAGATTTCCCCAGTTATCTTACCAGGATTATTTATATCAAATGAAGATATATTGGCATGTGACTAATTTAAAGGATATGTGAATTAGGATGAAGCAAAGTTAGTGTAAATATTTAAAGGAAGCTATTCAGTTGGCTATGAAACTTGAATTGATTAAAGTTGCAGATAAACAACTGAAATTATGAGATAATCAGATCGAGTAATAGTAAAATGTTACATAACTAGTTACACAGAATGGAGAAAATAACGTACAAGATAATAGGTGTTTCAAGTGTAACTTGTAAAGACATATTGCCAGTAACTTCAGATAAATGCCTTTAAGGAATCATAACTCCTTTTAAAGGATGTAAGAAGAAGGGAAATGTTATAAATGTGGGAAAAATTGTCATTATAGCAAGGATTGTAAAGATTCAAGAGTTATTAGTATGCCAATGATACAATACTGTACAGATAAACCTTCAAGTCAAATCCGGTTAAAGGAACTACAAAGCACCAACCAGTCACTGGAAAAAAGTGATTAGACTTATAGGTGAACATCAGTTTAGAATACTCCCTCTGCGCCAAATGAGAAAAGAAGGTCGTTATTTAAAGAAACCGGCCATGACTCAATGGGCATATTGATGGACACTGGTTCTACAATTACAATAGTTCAATCTGATTTGATAATGAGGAATAGGAAATTGCCTCCAACAAAGTGTACCTCAAATTTACAACAAAAGGAATGTTGGAAGTTATTCTTACTGTAAGAAACCTTAGGAATGTTTGAAGTTATTCTTACTGTAAGAAACCTCACTACAGCTCATAATATGTAGGTAATTGACATCAAGGAAGAGAGCACATTATGAACTGTCCTCAATTGGAAACATGGATGTGAGCTTAGACTAGAATCTTGACAGTATACGACAGGGAAATCCCTGTGTACTACACGAGAATTACTACATCAGAGGTTGAATGTCCAACAACAACAAAGAGAACATTCATTGTAACACCAAGAAAGGAAATACTCATACCAGCACTTATTTGGAATAAATTTACATGTAATAACTAGGCTATAGTAGAGCCAAATACTTCAGCATGTTCTAGAGGATTAATAGTTAGAAGAATTTTCATAGATCTGAATATGTTTAACCCTTTCACCGCGGCTGGGATGTATATTGCCCAATGCACTGGGAAATATATGTCCCAGCCACAGTGAAAGGGTTAAGATAAATTAATTAGGCCATGAACACAACAAATCATAAAATTCGAGTCAAGTCTGGATGAAATGTTGCAAGATATGAAGCTGTACAGGTAGTACTTCCATATCAAAGAACATCACAAGTAGTCATGATTGAGGTAAGGTGCAGTAAGTCTGATATCATATCCTTTCATAAAGACGGTTTACTATCTGTATAGTTCTTACAGCTAAAGAAGGTCCATGTTGCATGACTTGCTCATGGTATATCGATATAACCTCTCCAGCGGACCTCAAGATTTTGGCTAAACAAACATAATATCTCATATATTTGATGCTGGAGATGCAGCCGTAATACATCAAATAGTCACTCGACTCCCACTTGCTAAGCAGGCTGAAACTTTCAATAGGTAAATACCACAAAAGAACAAAGAGTAATATAACCGAGTACTAGACCATAAGTATCTCTTACTGTACCTGTGAATAAGCAGAATGGATCTATAGAGTCATTCAAGGCCTACTGGAAGGCGAATAAAGCCATAAAGAAAGACGCCTATCCACTACCAAGTATTGATTCTACCTTGAATGCTCTATTTGGATCCAAATGGATTACAACATTGGATAGTAAGAGTGCATGTTGGCAAATATAAGTCGACGAAGCAAATTTTGTAGAATCTTTCTCTGACATTGCTCATCCGCTACACAAATTACTTGAAAATCCAAAAAAACATTTTGTTGCACTTCTGATTGTGAACAAGCATTCAAGAGAATGAAGAAAGAACTGACCACCACTCTTGTAATAACATAGCAAACATGAATATCAACTCATTTCATATACATATGCCAATAATTTTGAAGTGGAAGAAGTGCTATCATAAATACAACATGTGATTCCCTCTATAGCACGCTAATTAATGGTACAGAAAGGAAGTATTGTATCACTTGAAAATATCTGTTAAGTGTTGTTTGAGCCTCAAGTCATCTTCATCATTGCCTATATGGGCAAAAGCTTACACTCCAGCAGATCATGCTGCATTGAAGCGACTGGTGGATTTTTACAATCCAGAAGGCCAGATAGTAAGATGGCTCCTGAAACTTCAGGAGATATCTTTAACATCATGCATTGTCCTAGGTGTAACTATAGAAATGCTGATGAATTAACCCTAAACCATGTTAAATTAAGAATGTAAACATTGTGAAAAGAGGTGAGCATAGGATAGTAACGATGACAAATCTAGCTTGTAACAAAGTATAACCAAATTGTGATATCCACAAGTGATGATAAAGAACTAATGTAATTCAACACTAAAATGAAAGATGGTTAAGCAAAAAGATTCAAATTTGAAACCTACTATTCATTGGATTAGGAATAGAGCAGAAAAACTCTAATGGCTTAGAATTGTTCAATACAGCCCAAAGACAAAGATGCACTGGGCGCAGTGGTATTCATTTTATCTACAAGAGGGTTTGTTATG